CCTGCTGTTAATGAAGTACATGTGAATATATGTTATCAAACAAATGCAACAGCAGAAACAGGACAGTACATTCAGTGGAAAAAAATGTAGATGCCATTATCTTTGTGCCTTATTTCAGGCTTTTTTTCCATGGGCCTACTTCCAAATAAGACAAAAGAAACATGAAGTATGTTTACTAATTAATAAACTACAACCTAAAGCTACATTTGATTTCAAAGTAACGGAAGATTTAAATTTTTCTGCACTCCTTAATATTTCTATACTTCTCTTCTTTCTTGCATAATATTAACACGTTAGAGACACCATCAAGGAAAATTTCTGAGCTCCCATTTCTGTGCCATAGTATTCTCCAACAATATCATTTTTTCTGTGTCTGTGTATGAAGTTAGCTAATCCACCCCACTGAGATCAGCCAACAAGGACAGTTCCAGTTTTTGACACACTCAAGCATTTTACGAAGTTCCAGCATCTTTCACCTGATTTCCTCCCTCCCAATTAGTTCCCATGTCCTTCAGTGTGGATTTCTGACAGCCACTATTCTTTCACATGTCCAATTAGGCACAGTGTGAACTGCCAGCAACAAATCTAATATCATGATTATGAGTTAGATCATGTACAATTCTTAACAAGATTTATTTCACTTGGAACACTGACAGTGGATTTAAAAATTTAAGGATGAAGGATGCCTCCACAGATTGGCTGGGTGGAGTCAACTTTTTGCCCTATCCTCAAAAAAAACATACCACCAATATGGAAAACTAGCCTCACCATGCCATTATACCTTTTGCTGAGTACCATCACATGAAGAGTAGTACAAGACTGTTAGAGAAGAGACATGATTATCTACAGGGTACAACAGATTCACATTCCACCTCTGTATGACATATTCCAGCATTCACAGGAGCACGATACTTCCATGAGGTTACAGTGACACTAATTCTCTCTCAAATCTTCTCTGATAGTCATCAATGCAGAGAATGGCTTAAAATCCTGCTTTAACTTTACAGCAAGTTTAAAATATAATAACATTCTAACAGTCTTATTAAATTCTGTCCACATTCTCTATTTCCTCCTAATTTAAGTACTCATATCCAGTATTCAAAATTCATAAATTTCTGTGAACCAACTGTTAAAATGAAATAAACAGAATTTTCTTCTCTAAAAAAAATAGTTTAAAACTGCAAAATAAAACACTACTAACTTTAAATAATAACAGTAAGTTAATTCCAGGCAATGTATTTTCAGTAAGATAATC